TCCTCTTCCTCCACAGCAGGACTCTGTAATGTGTGCAGAATGTGGTTTTGCATTGTCTTGTTAAAAAATGCATAGACGTCCTGGAAAAGAAGGCAGCATATTGTGCTCCAAAATCTCTATGTGCTTACAGCATTATTGGTGCATCACAGAAGGGCAGGCTACTTTGCTAAGGGCACTGACACAACCCCATACCTTGACAGATCTTAGCTTTTTGCTGGTAACAGTCTAGATGATCCATTTCTTCTTTGACATAGAGAGCATTTCTTCCAAAATATATCTGAAATACTGATTCATCAGACCACAGTTATAACTGCTGTTATAAACTAGCCTAGAGCGGCGTCTGCTGTTATAAACTAGCCTTGAGCACTGTGCTGTTAAACCCTAGCATAGAGCACCGTCTGCTGTTATAAACTAGCCTAGAGCGGCGTCTGCTGTTATAAACTAGCCTAGAGCGCCATCTGCTGTTATAAACTAGCATAGAGCACTGACTGCTGTTATAAACTAGCCTAGAGCGCCATCTGCTGTTATAAACTAGCCTAGAGCACTGACTGCTGTTATAAACTAGCCTAGAGCGCCTTAAGCAATATCTGCTGTTAAACCCTAGCATAGAGCACCATCTACTGTTATAAACTAGCCTAGAGCACTATCTGCTGTTAAACCCTAGCATAGAGCACCGTCTGCTCTTAAAAAGTAGCCTAGAGCGCCATCTGCTGTTATAAGCAAGCATAGAGCGTAATCTGCTGTTATAAACTATCATAGAGTGCCGTCTGCTCTTATAAGCTAGCCTAGAGCGCCATCTGCTGTTATAAACTAGCCTAGAGCGTCATCTGCTGTTATAAACTATCATAGAGTGCCGTCTGCTGTTATAAGCTAGCCTAGAGCGCCATCTACTGTTAAACACTAGCCTAGAATGCTTTTCGGTTATGTTTGGTCATGAACTACATTATGGGATGTTGATCTCTGCTCGGTCCACTTTTGATGTTGAAAATTCATCTCCACAATTTAATAGTCACTTTTAATGGCATATTAGTAGCAGAACAGACATTTGAGATGTGCTGCAGTGTATAACAAGGTTTTTGCAGCATTATATACAGCACCAACCCAGACAATATAGCCTTTTAAACTAATAAAAATGTTCATAAAAGTGACTTTTTCCAACTTTTTTGAGGTTAAAAGTAATTAGAAGAAAGATCAAGCTTCCATAATGCAGTTCAAAAGCAGAAATAACATTAAAACATGAATCACAAAATACAGAACACTGCTAATTTGCAATAACAGTGCAAATAAATAATATATATCACATATCAGTAGTTTGTCCGTGTTTTCACACGTGGAATGTTCTTTTGTCACCTTTGCAGTATACAGTATATCACACAAAGACAAACAGAAAAAACAACAACCTATTCATAGTCAGCAAAGGGCACGCCGTGAACCACCTTTTGTTCCAGAACGGTAATTAACCAGAATCATCAGCTCATGTGTTTGCTCGCTGCTCTTGCTGTTCTATCAATAACAGCGTTCATTAATGTCCCCCAAACCCCACAGCACTATCTCACTGTCAACCAGAGACCAGCAGCTCTTTCTTTATTAACTTTCTTTTCCAACGCTCAATAGATTCAGCTCAAGGCTCTATTTGTGTCTTCAGCTCCATTGTTTCAGTTCACTAGTGTGTGTGTGTGTGTGTGTGTGTGTTTGTGTGTGTGTGTGTGTGTGTTTGTGTGTGTGTGTGTGTGTTTGTGTGTGTGTGTGTGTGTGTGTGTGTGTGTGTGTGTGTGTGAAGTACTCTAAACTTTAAAGACCCTGTGAAATTAAATTAAAGTTATTTAGATGTTAGTTTTAAGGATATCTATAAGCTAGTATGCTCCAAAACTTTGTCAATATTCACATTTAGGAGATATAAACCTGATCTAAAGCTTGTAGTTTGTCACTTCCGCCTAATTCATTCATTCATTCATTTTCTTGTCGGCTTAGTCCCTTTATTAATCCAGGGTCGCCACAGCGAAATGAACCGCCTTGCTCAAATGGATTAAGGATTATTCTGATGTCTTCACAGTTTCTCATCAAATCATCTGACCAACTAAAAGCTCTGTAGTATCTCATATGCCCCGCCCCCTTCATCTCATTGGCTGTTCATCTGATGTGCTTGAGCTTAACAGCTCTTGCTGGCAGAGCTGTGAGAAAAGCAACACGCTATTGGCCCCTTTTTAAAGGGGAGGAGCTATTATCTGCCCCCGCCCTCTCTTTATGTTATAGTTGAGATTATGTCAAACAATAATTAAAAAATGTGCATTTCACAGCGCTTCACATCACCTTCAAGATTTACAATGGTAAAACAGTGGTATAGTAATATTACAGTGATCTATTATACAATTATCAGGGGTGCTGCATTAATAACTTTCTTACTCAAAAGTTTTTGTCTTGTTTCTAGTCCAAATATCTGCAAATTCAAGAAGCATTTTCTAGAAAAGCAAAAAATATTGTCTTGTTTAGAGAAATAATG